AAGTGTGGCCAGGCCTCGGCACAACAAGTAGCACTCGCTCAAATGATCCAAAATGAACGGACGAGGCCCGGACAGGGGCTGGGGCTGGGGCTGGGGCTGGGGCTGGGGCTGGGGCTGGGCTGGGCTGGGCTGGGTCTGGGCTGGATCTGGGGCTTGGCGTGGCATGCCGCGGCGTTTGGCGCTGAAATGATTAAAGCTGGCTACGCCCAGCAGCCGCGCCCTCCACCCCGCTCCAGTACTTGCAATCAGACAGACACAAATGGATGCGGCAACCGCAGAGCCACACGGCCGAACGGCCGTAGAGACTTTGGCCAATATTTCAAACACGCGTCGAACGCATTTCCGTGCGGAAAACGGTTACAGCGGAAATGCAACTTTGGCCGTTGTTCAAGCATAACTGTTGTTTATGTTTGCGCACAGACACACACACACACACACACACTACCTCGGCAGAGGCAGTGAAACATGGCAATGGATACCGCTGGTTGGTTATCAACAAAAGTGCGACCCGTCCTGAGACACGGACGCAGCTGTGTGCCGCCAGCATAAAATCGTTGCTCACTTTTTATATACTCTTGCAAAGGTATTTTAATTTTGTCATGTAATATGTAGACGACAGCTTTAACACTACAAAGTATTTTTATTCTCGTAAAACTGTGTTGTTGTAAGATTCCCGATCGAGCCACGTTATCTCCCTTGCGAACTATCGATGAACCAACATTTTATTTCAAAGTATTTCGATCAAACACACCTGCTTCGAATAAGCCTAGAGATGAGATTAAAATATCTCAGACCATATATTCCATGCGTCTGGCAGAGCATTTAGTATTCAGTGCATCTATTTTGTCTTTGTTTTTTGCAATTTTGGGTCGACAGCAGATACAGTTACAAAGCCGGTTACAGGCCCGCTTACAGACCCAGTTAACCATTACGCTACCAGTTAGTTTTGGCCCATTGCTGGCCAGACGAGACGGCTTATATGTTTTTTTCTTGCCCCTCTTTGGAATTGCAATTTTTGACAGCAATTTTCTTGCCGTTGACAAAAGCCTCACGCAGTAAATTGAGATGGATGAAAGCCAACAGACAGACAGACAGACAGACAGATAGACGGGCCAGTTGGAAGTGAGCTCGTCTCTGACTGAGCCAATAAGCTCACTTGGTTTAAGGCAACGGAGACCCTTAAAAACGACCAAAAAAAAAAGTAAAATAAAATAATTGTTCAAGTAAAATGAAAGCCAACTAAAAGGCATTGCTGTTGGCCGGTTGCAGTATTTTGTGGACTGCTTAATTGGTTTGTCCTGGCAAAAGACGAGAAACTGAATATGAAATCCTGAATACGGCTAGCCAGCCAGCTGTTTCCTTTGGGTCAAGGAGACTTACAACTGCGCGGAAACAAGCAGCAAGAAAAAGAGAAAGAAGCGAGTAATAAAAAGTTTGCATCCCACATGGGGGGAACTATTAAATAATATTGCAATAGCTTTTAAGAGTATTTTCATATCCTATAAATAAGCATGGGTGCAAGCCAAAATAATGTTATCGCTGATTTGGTTCACGGCTCGAACCAGTTTCATGCGTAAGGTATTATTTGAGAACCTGCTTTTCATAGAAAAGAGAAAGAAGCGAGTAATAAAATCACACATGGAGATAAATTGCAATAGCTTTTAAAAGTACTTTAAATGAAAGTACTTTAAATGGACTGCAAAATATGTAGATGAAATAGGTTTTTATTGTGAGTTGGCTGCAATCCCAAAAACCAGTTGAACCAGTTCCTTGCTTAGTGTTCGATTCATGAACCTTGTTTTGCCTAAGTTTCGGTTCAAACCTAGGCTTATCATATATTTCCCAAGCTCTAATGCAACAATTTAATTTAAAATACAAATTGCGCTCGATCTACAGGAAATATTTAATAAAAATTTAATTTTTTCAGAAATTTGGATCTACCAAATATGTATAATTAGATAAATGTAATGGTTGGCGCTTCAGTTATTTTTCCTTTCTAGCTGAGTCCACAATAAGGTTAGGCTTAGGTTTAGATTTTTTGGGTGGTATTCCTGGGCTTGTAGTGAACAATTAATTGGATTTCCGAGTTCAAACCTGCTTGGATAAAAAATCCGTTTGCAAATTTTGGATATCGTTCTGTTATTGACAAAGTAATGGGTGGAGGGGCATTGATTTGGGGCTTACATGTCGAAATAGTATTTGTCATATACAATTCTCTGTAAATGAATTGACCCTAGACTTATTCTGAATATCGAGTCATAAATATTACATTTACAAATCAATAACAGAGAAATCGATATTTCTTAAAACCAGACCTTAAAAGTCTCTGATTTGTGGTAAATGTCTTGTTGTTGTCACGAACCCAATAATCGAAAATCTGTGCGATTAACTTAACCGTTAATTGTGCAGAAAGTATTTCGCAGTTGGTTACACCTGAGTGACATGTCCCTAATGCTTTTCACACGTTGTTAAAATTTGTATTTACGTGCGTGTGTGTTTTTGTGTGTGTGTTTGGTATTGATAGGATTTGCCTACGTCCTTTGAGTTTCAATCGAGCTTACTGCGAGTCATTAAGGGACATTAAACAAGACGCCACGCCCACACACCAAGCTCAGCAACAGAAGCCAGTTTTGGCCACTTTATGGTTTTGGCTTAAACGGTGCAGACATTTTCATTAATTTGCACAATTTAATGATTTTCATTAAATTGTAATTACCCGAAATTAATCGCTTTGGCAATTGGCAAACCAATTGATGAGGCGGAGCCTGCTGAGGAGTTTGCGAAGGTCGCTTTGGTGCCTAAGCGGCTTATAGCTATTGCTTTGCCCGGAACCTATTCAGCATAGACATCATTTTAGCTCAGCCTCACTCTTCCACTCTTACTCTCTCTGTCTGTGTCTAGTTGCCTCTTGCTTTGTCTCTTTCTCTCTTGGCAGCCTTAAACCGTGCTGATAAGGAAAACTTACCGAATCGATTCAATTGCATTGTTTGTGTTTGTCGACTGATTGAAATGCATGTGAGCGTGGAAGTTGTTTAGTTTTCATTAGAAAACGCATTTCGAAAATCCATTGGCAGGCAATTAGAGCAGAGAAAGGCGATGAAAAATAAAAGAAACGCAACTGCTGATTAGCCTCCAGCTATAAAAGCGCAAATGAATGCAAAGAAATGCAAAAACGAAACAAGGACAACAAAAAAACTGTTGTCTTTATCATGTCGAACATCAAATACCCTTGCAGAATGGACAGCCTTGCGATACATTTCCATAGTTAGAAACACAACGATGTCAATTTTTACGTTCTCGATAAGATATTGGGCGTAAAATGAAGTGTATAAAGTGTGTATGAAATACCATATATGCTGAAGATTCTCTTTCAATCCTTAGAAGACTTAGCTAATAACTCCAGACTTGCACACATCTAGCCACTTGCTTAAAACTTGTACATGTTGTGAATTACAGCAAGGTAAGCATAACCAGACCCTAAACTATTGTTATGCTTTATGTTATATAAGATTATAATTTATCATATGTATGTTTGGTGAGAGACATCTTTAAGCCACCACACATTTTGCGACAAAATTATAATACTCTTTTGGAAGAGTATTAAAAGGCAAACGAAAATGCAAATAAAGCAGCCAAATGTCAGGTGCAAGTGTGTAGAAGGCTGGCCAGCAAGGGCGTGCGAGTCTTGGCAATTAAGAACGCCTCTGAGCGGCAGCTGCCACTGAGTTGCTTAAGTGTGCGTTGCATATTTTAAGCTGCCGCCGCCTCCGGCCCCCCGCATCCCAAGTCCTACACGCAGCCCTCTGCCACACCCCAAGCAATGGAGCAGATGGTGCTGTTGCATCGGCAAAGCCGGTCAAAAGGCCGTCAAGGGTCGTGCCAAGTAACAATTTGCAACAACAAGTTGCAACAATGGCAATAATTCAGTTCAAGTGCACAAATGTGTTGCACATTTCGCATGCAGCTGCAAGGTAAATGTTTGGGCGCACTGCTGGGGCTTGGTCAGGTGCGAATATTGCCACAGGGCTGACAGCTCGGACAGCGCGAAGGTCTTTTCATTTCAAGAGGTTTTTCGAGTTTTTCGCAAACGACAGAGAGAAAGCAAGAAACATAGATAGGACTAAGTGCAAATCAACTCGAACTGCGAGCAAGAGCAAGCAACAGATTAACACAATAAAACTCAAATGGAATAAACATTTCAAATGGGGCCAATTGAATAAATATAAGAATAAGAATTAAGTTTTTTGCGCGAATGCTCTCTTTAAGTTACCCTGTATAATAGTGGCTGTGGCTATACAATACCTTGAAGGTCTATCGAAATGGCAACGCATAGCATATATAGCATATGCCATTGAAGAAGATGAAGCAAAGAGGCATATTGACTGGATAATCTATTCAACTGGGAACTCTTGTTGAGTACCCAATTTGATAATTCCAAATAAGTTGACGGTCACTCTCCAAATATTTGTTACTTTCAGTAAAACATGGCCACACACTTTTTACAGTGGTTCGGCTCATGAATCAAAGCAGTTCCCCATCTTATGCTACAGTTCCTAAACCTCGTTTTCCAAATTTGTCAACACAGTTTTGGGTTCGAACTTTTGATAGGCAAATTTCTTTCTGTAGGATTACTCAATTTAAAGTAATTCAATTAATATATTTCATATTATGATTCGGCTCAGATTAATTTTCGTCTATTGACGATCAACTTTTAAATTAAAGCTGATTCTTCCTGACTTTAAATAATTTTGCACATTTTGCATTCCTGAATTCCGTAATTCGTTTTTAAAAAATTCTTAAAATGAGTAAATTATTTTAAATTTTTAAATTCTGGAAATAAAAGTAATTTCTGTCGTTCTGTTTTTACTCTGGTCGAGTGTCGACAACGTATCTTAGAATATTGTAACATTGCTGGAATTTCTACCATTTACTCAGATAATTTAAGCAAGTTGTTGGAAATATTTAATATATATCACCTTGTCTTCAACAATTGATTACAGCTAACCGAACGCCTGGAGCAAATACCCGCACCACAAATGCAAAATGAATTCGGACCAAACAATGCAGATGCCATCTGGGCCGCCGCCTCCCTCGCAGAGAGTTACATGCGGCGAGTTCAGCGGAGACAGGGAGAGCTATGGGGCTGCCGCGAGTCTGGGATACGGCGGCATACCGACATCGTCCACCAGCAGTTACGGTTCGTTTGGCGTTCTCTCCAGCTTATCCAGCGGTGGGACAGGTACGCCCACGTTGCCGCTGCTGTTGTCCACGCCGCCATCGACAAGCACGTTTAAGACAACGCCGATTTCAATGCCAACATCGACGCCTTCGCCATCATCATTGATTCCGATCCCGATGTCGACGCCCGCGCCCTCCCCTCTGATCCCCATGACGAATCCGACAACGACAACCACACCGCCGCCGTCGACGCTGCTGCCCATGTCGATGTCCATGTCGCTGACGACGCCAACCCAGTTGCCGACACAGCTGCTGCCAATGCCAACGCTGGAGGACATTGAAGTAGCTACACAGCAGCAGCCGTCGGCGCCGCCACAGTCGCAGCCAACCGGCATACTCAAGTACCCAACAGCATCGAGCATTGGCTACGTCAGCGAACTGTTGGCGCCGCCAGCTCCAGCCCTGGGCAGCAGCGCCAGCAGCTCCATCAACAGCAACTGCGGCACACTGAAGAGCAACGCCAAGCTGCTGCCGCTTCAACTAGTCGCCAATACGGCCCCCACACGCAAGGAGCCGCCATCGAGCGCGCCCACAGCGCAATCACAGCAGCAGCAGCGCCAGCGGCGGCAGGGCTGGTGCGCCTGCTTCGGGTCCGGGCCGAGTGCATTGGAGGCCAAAACGCCGCACGGCTACGGCTCCAAGAACAAGAAACGCAAACAAACGGCCCAAACTGTTTGGTCTGCCCTTCTCACAAATCTAGGCATTTGCATGCTCCTTTTGGCCTACACATTGCTGGGTAAGTGTTCATATGCAACATTCCACTCATTTTCCGTGTATACAGGTGAAAAGCTGGGTATACAAAACTGATGAAAAACGGTTTAATTTGCGGTCCCATTTAATTAATTGCTTTTGGAAAAAAAACAACACAACACGTCCTACTTTGACTTTCACATTTCCACCTATATTCCTTTCATTTTCACATTTCCACCCATATTCAATGATTGTTTTAGCACTCACTCAATATAAATTCCCAACTGTAAGCCGCTTAGCTATGAAAATGGTTCATAATTTTTGAGAAATATTGCACAATTCCTAGAAGTAGACAAAAAATACAAAAGAGTTTATAGTAAATATATAATAGTAAAATAGTTTTCTTGAACGCATATTAAGAGAAATTTTAATATGAACAATGTTTAATTGAACTTAAAAATCGTTTATTTCATTTAAGCATTACAGTAAAAGCGTAATTAAGACAATTTTAATGAGTTCAGCTCAGTCGTAAAGTGTCGCTGGCATTTCGAATCTAGAGTGGATGTGCTCATTAAAATTGGACGGCTTCTGTGGAGCTTAGCTTGATTAATTGTTAGCACATAGCAACTATCAGTTGTACAAACATTGTTGTTTTTATACCCTTAAAAGCAGTATTCCAAATTTGTCACGAAATGTGTAACGCATAGAAGGAGACAACTCTGACACGATAAAGTGTATATAATATTGATCAGTACGAACAACTTTTGTCTGTTTCTATACTAATTCCTTAGTCTCAATACTATCTTTATGAAACATTGAAAACAGAACATATGTATAATCGGAATTGTTAATCCCATAGCTTCATAGAAACAGTCGGTCGCATTTAAATTTCATACAAGAACAAACTTTTTATTTTTTTTTTATATTATTAAGCTCCTATTGGAGCAATCGAGTAAAAATAAAGCTTTCGTATAAAAGGATTCTAAGCCGCAAGGGTATTTAGGTATCGGCGTGTCGGCGTACGGTTCTTAGATTTTATTTATTTTTTTTTTTTTTTCTGTTTCTGGGTTTCCCTTATGTTGACTAATTAACGCAGCATTTGCCGTCATTTCCTCTTTTGAGCATTTAGTTAGCTGTTTTGCCCTGACTGCGGGCCGCTGACTTTTTGCGGCTGCTGTGTGTCAGCTACAGATACAACTCGTATCTTAACAGTTGTAACTACAGATACCTAATGTATCCTGTCACAATTTCGACGTTTAAATTGACAACAACAACAAATATGTGATGATGAATTTAATTAATCATTTTGCCAGCCGCATATGAATGAAACAAAACACCAAAATGGCGTCGGCCGCGAGACTTGCCACACGGCCGAAACTTATCCGGCAACTGGCAACTGTGTGGCATCATCTACTTTCTGTCGTCTCTGTCATGTTCGCCAGCCATGATGTACTCGCATTAGAAACCAAAGACGGCTGCGCGAACATAACGACTACGGAAGTGACAGGCTGCGAGACAAAGTGACAAAACAGGCAGCATGCAAAAGGCAGGCAACACATGCGCCACATCAAAATACTTTAAACAAATCGAAGCGTCTACGCTTTAGAGATGCCACCTGAATGTGTTACTTGTCACGGGTAACGAATCACAACATTTGGTACAGGGCTCGAACCAACTTGGCTTGTGAACCTGATTTTTCTCTACTTAGAAGTCAGGTTCTTGTGTGAGACTTAATTTGTCAAATATTTTCAAAATTCTTATGTAACAATAAAATTTTTGATATACAGCCGCCCGCTATACTGAAAGTATATGAAGTCGTAAACATATATTTCCATATGCAAGCTGCGGGATAAATTTGATATCTACCCATAATTTGCACCCTTTAAGTGCAATGGTAGAACTTCCTCAAATGTTTTTTTCTTACACAAAAGTTTTTTAGAAAAAGAACAAAGCAGTTCACTTCCAATTTCGGCTTTGTCGTTTTTAAGTTTACGTTTTTTTTTTTAGTTTTCGTTTCGAACCGGTTTTAAGCCTTAATTTCATAATTTCCAAACAAATCAGAGGCTTTTACCATCATCTAAAACTGAAACCTGTTCAAACTAAGTAGACCTTTGATCATTACACGCAATACTTGTGTTGCCACCCTGTCTAGTACTGCAAATACGAATATCAAATACCACTTAAAGCATACTCATACAAATATGTAACTAGAATTTGAGAAAATACCATGTAATTACTTTTGTTGTCCAATTAGGCAGATGTTTCTTTAGGATTAATATAGAGCATAGAGTAGAATATTATAAAGGGAACTTAAGCTAAAGTTGGTATTGAAAACTTCTACACCTAATTGAAATATTTGTAAAGCTGTTGTCGTATTTACAGTCTGTACGGTTTTCCTAAAGAACATTGTCTTAATTCTCACTTTTGCTCATCTCCAGCACGCATGTGTGTACGTGTGTGTGTGTGTATGTGTGCGTGTGTATGTGTGCGTGTGTGTGTGTGCATGTGTGTGTGTGTGTGTGTGTGTGTGTGTGTGTGTGTGTGTGTGTGTGTGTGTGTGTGTGTGTGTGTGTGTGTGGTGTGTGTGTGTGTGTGTGTGTGTGTGTGTGTGTGTGTGTGTGTGTGTGTGTGTGTGTGTGTGTGTGTGTGTGTTTGTTTGTTTGTTTGTTGTGCGTGCGCGTGTGTGCGGCTGTATGTGACAGCTGCGCAAAAACTTAGCCGTGTTGCCTTGTTAAAGGAAATCATCAAATGACACAAACAATTATTTAACTTTCTCTAGGCCCCGGTGCGTGAGTTTGTGACGTCAGCGCACGCCCATGACAGCTCCCCAGTGCGTGTGTGTGCCTGCTCTTTTGTGTGTGCTTATGCATATGTATGTATGGGTTTGTATGTGCTCCATTTTGCGTGCATTTTAACGCTTCAACAAAAGTTTCAAGTTGGCCAAGCACAGCAACAATTGCTGCTGCCGCGCTTCTCTCTGCTGCCGGACAGCCAGCAATTCACAGTCCTCCCACACGCTCATGTATTATTTTTAACTTTGACATGTGTTGGCTTTTGCCGACGACATCGACTCATCATACCCCATAATATGATTTGCAGCCCAAAAAGAACAAAATTCGTTAAAGTTACGGCAAATGTTACAGAAAAACTTTTCCATAAACTTGACAAATGCCGCTTCGGTGACACATGTTTGCTTATGTGTGTATGTATGTGTGTACATTAGTTGATCAGCATAGACATTAAATGACTGACAAGGCTTCAGCTTAGGAATTTACACAGAATATACACAGGCTTAACATACATCATGTCAACGAACTAAATGTGACCCATTGCCCTTATGGACCCGCATTCCTAAAGGCATGCCATTCGACCACAGTGGCCTATGAGAAGCCTTAAAAATGTTTGTGTTATAACAATTTCAGCTTAATTCGGAAAAGAATTTGTTGTCGATTTTTAACCAATACCAATTTCATAGTTAAAGCTATCAGAGAGAACTGAAGTCAAGCAATAGCCGCATTTAAATACGGAAAAAGTAAGCAAAAAGCCAAAGCAGAAGCGAGAAGCTAAGGCAGAAGCGATAAGTTATAGGGGCAGCTAAGAGAGCTTAGCGAGAATATGTATATACTCTTGATCAGTATCAACAACCGAGTCGATATAGCCATGCCCGTCTGTCCGTCCGTTGGTCTGTTTCTATGCGAACTAATCTCTCAGCTTTAAAGCTATTATCATACAAATTTACAGAAGACTCTCTTTCTGTTGCACGCAGTTTTACTATGCGTCTCATATGCACACAAAATTCTATTAACATCGTATTACTATATCATATAGCTGCCATAGGAATGATCAGTCAAAAATGAAATTCAAGTACTTTTTGTTGTTCAAGATATCTTAACCATACTCGGCATTAACTATTCACTCAGCGCTTCTTGGGCAAATCATGAGCATTATGAAGAGGTTAGGTCTACAAGGGTATTAAATCTTCGGCGTGCCGAAGATAGCCCTTCTCTCTCGCTTAAACAATAAATTGAATTATCCAGGTTGAGTTCAAATTTTGTGGAAAGTTGTTTTTTGAGGCGTGTTTTAGCGATTGCGAAGTAATCGAGGTACCTTTCAGGGGAATAGGAATTCAATGTAGCTCTTCTAAGTGCGGGAAAAGTGTGTTATAAAGCTCTATGTTATACATTATGTGTACTACGAGTAGGAAAATCTTAGTAAAAGCAACTAATGCTAACTTAAACTAGCTAAACAACATGACAACATTGATATTAGCACTTATACTAGACTGACTTCTATAGAAGCCCATTGAAGCATGTAAATACAGTTTACCAAGATATTCAGCACAAAGTCCCTGAACGAATAGATTGAATGGGTAACAGGCAAAATAAAAAATGAAACACAACTGCAGTGCGGAGCTAGACATAAAAGTGGTCTATTTAACAGCTGATGATTGCTGTGCATGACTCTTGGCCAGTTTGGTGGGCCAATGGCTAAACCAAAAGCCCCAACTGACCCCAAGCGATCCGTTGGAGCGCTCTGACAAAACAAATGAGTTGCCGTCGCTTATTTGGAGGCCAACACTTTGGCATTGTTGTGTTGTTGTTGTTGTTGTTGGTATGTGTGTGTATGTGTGTGTGTCAAGTCTCATGAGCCTAATGCTGTTTGTTGTACTTTGTTGCTCTTGTTTGCAGGCTCCTTCATATTCCTAACCATCGAGAATGAGGACTCGGCGCTGCTTCATCAACAGCATACGCTGGCATCCACCAAGCGCAACATGGCCGGCAATAGCCACAGCAACACCAATGGGAACGGCAATGGCATCTATCAACAGCAAAGGTCGCCACAGACGCAGCCACAACAGCAGCGGCAGCAGCAAGGGCAACAGCAAGGACCTCACACGGACAATGACACGATGGCCGCTGCAATTGCCCAGGGCCAGGATCTGGGGCATGAGCGTAGCGTCTATGGGCAGGCATCGAATGACTTTGTTTATGGATTAGATGACTCCGACATGGAAGCGGGGCAGGCACAGTTTGCCTTATCGCCGGATACTTATGATGTACGACAGCGCACCATTGAGAATATCTGGGACATAACCGTGTCCCTAAACATACTATACAAGGAGAATTGGACAAAGTAAGGCAGCACGTCCCCCTCTCTATCTCCATCCCTCTATCGCACCTAAATTTCTCTAACTTCTTACTTCTCTTTTCACACACTCACAGATTAGCCGCACTTGAAATTGCCAAGTTTCAAGACCAATTAATCAAGAGACTGAACGAGGATGTTATGCTGCAATTATCACACGACGATGTGGCTGGCGGACATTCGGTTGCTGGCGGTGCTGCTGGTGGTGCTGGTTCAGCTGGTGGTTCAGCCAACAATCCGGCCACGGAAGCTGTTCTTCTGCACACACACTTTCATCATCATCGTCTTGCCGGCGGTGGCGTGGGTGGACCACCACATGAATGGAATTTCGCCAAAGCGTTTTTGTATTCGCTGACCGTTTTGACCACAATTGGTAAGTGCCCAGTGACCAGTGACCAGTGCTTAGCACATGTGTGACAGACAGAGAGGCAGAGACTGCGGTACAGTGAACTAGACAGGGTGGGAGAGATGGCGAGAGAGGGTATGGACAGTGGGCGCCAGTGCGAGTTGGCTGCATTGTGCCATGGCTGCCATGACTGTGGGCCATAAATTTTATATTCCACCAAACGGAAATTTGCTTTACTTCAGTGGCGAGCATCAAATGAACTTCGTGCACTCGATTTTAGATAGCGCCGCAATAGGGTCTACGACCCATTCACCTTTTGACTCCACCACAAAACCAGCTTCACTAAATGATCGATGAGCAGGCGTAATGAACTCTTGCGCTTTGACATTCAAGTTCAATTAGCCAAATGAAAAAGCGAAGCAAAAAAAATTGAGGTAGCATAGCGAAGGGCGCGTAGCGCAAAGTACACCGACGCGTTAAGAAAGGCGTATAAAAACGTAGCGAAGTAAATAAGTAGTGGTGAAAGAAGCGCAGCTCATCATAAGATTTAGTGGAAAGCTTAAAGAGAAATGTAGCAAAAACCCTTAGGAGAAGCGAAGGGAGAAGCTAATCAAGATTAGCGACAACTTAAGCGAAAAACCTGACTAGAAAAGTAGCGAGAAGTATAGCAAGACAGAGAGCGCGAAGCTGAACAAGAAGGTTAACGAGAAGCGAAGCGAGAAACATAATGAAATGTGTATCGAAAGCGTAGCGAAAGGCATATCGAGAAACATAACCAAAAATATAGCCAAAACCCAAGATATAAACAAGGAGAGAAGCTTAGCGAGAAGCTTTGCGAGAAACAAAGTGAGAAGTGTAGCGACAAGATAAATAAATAGCTTAGAGAGCTGCATAATAAGAAGCTAGGCAATACTAGGCTAGGACGGTAATCGAGAAGAGGGAGAAATTAAGTGAGAAGCGTAGCGAGAAGTTCAGCATACATACTAATTAATCGAGAAGGGTAGCGAGAAGGCTGTCGGGAAACATAGCAAGTAGGTAGCTTAGTGAGTAGCAGAGAAGCTAATCAAACCTCGTACCGACATCTTAGGCGAAGGTCTGCGCGAGAAGCGTAGATTAGGCGAGAAGCTTATCATTTAACATAGGTCAAGGAAGAGTAAAACAAGAATCGGAGCGAGAAGCGTACCGTAGCAAAAAGCGTAGCAAAAAATGAAGCTAAAAGCATAGCGAGAAGCAAAGTGAAAAGCTCAGCGTGAAGACAAATCGAAAAGCTTAGCACGAAATGAAGCAGAAAAAAAAACAAAAATCGAACATTGGAAAAGATCAAAAAAAACAAAGGGACGCAGAATAATTTTGTAGCAATGATTTTCGGTGTCAGAATTGGCACGAGAAATGAAGCAAAAGCAAAACTCTTAGGCTGAAGCAATAAATTCGTTGCCCAGTTAGAGAGGTAGATAAAATGTCAAATAAAGAGAGAAAGGGCCAAAGAGAGCGAGAGAGAGAGAGTTACCTCCGATACAAGTCTCTAGGGTCTATTTATTTATGCAGGCTTATTACAAACAATATAAATGAACACAACATAGTGAATAAAGTGAAGACAAATACACAAGTTACATACTGTTTGCTTAGCTACACATTCGATACTCAACGAAATAAATTTGGTATACATATCATTAATATATAATAATGTGGCACAGTCCCCAAACTTAAATCATGGTGTTCAATAATTAACAACAGCTTAAAGACAATTATCCACTGGAGATGCTATTTTATGCCAAGCCAATTGACCAATTGTCTTTATTTCTGTTGAAAAATTGAAAATTTGATAAAGGGCAATATGTGCTCACGCACATATGTGTGTGTGCGTGTGTGTGTCCAATTGCCCCGCATGTCTGTAAAAACTTTAAAATCTGAACAATTTCGACGAATCCTGTTATATGTATGTGACTTATCAGAGATGCTCATCTGTCATTTGTGTGCTCATGTGAGAAGAATATCTTTCAATTGGCATTGTCAAGGCGCTTCCACACACGCCCACAAACAAACCCACCTCAATTTAAAATGTGTGTGTATGTGTGTGTGCGTGTGTGTGTGTGTGCGGGGGAAATATGTAAGCAGCCTGTACTGCCAGAGTTTTGCAGTTGTCAGTATTCCCATGGGCTGTCAAGTGCTGGCGTTTGCGCTTTTCTTTTGCTTTTTTGTATTTTTTTTTGTTTTTGTTGCCTGGTAATTTTGTAGGTTCACCCACAAAAAACAAGCCGAAAGTCAAATATTGATAGAGCAAAACAACAAACGAAGCTATTTGCTTAGCCCGAATGGCCAAAACACACACACACACACACACAGACAGCTTGAGCTGGCATGAGACGCATAGACACGACTTTCCACTTGTGAAAATGCTATAAAATAAAATTTGCAAAAATTTTCTGCTGATCTTGGCAGTTCATGCAAAGGGGCCGACAAGCAAATACACCCTGCCCAACCCACCCAAAAGCCCATAAGCGCCCGACCAATCCCAATCCCAATCCGAATCCCAGACCCAATTCCCCTGCCCCCAAAACCGCCCACTGCATAAAATACTCCACATTGTGCGTTGCTAAAGGAAGAAGGGGGCAGAGGGGTTGGTGCAGCATACGGCGCCTTTTCGGAGGCGTACAGTTCGCAGTGCGGGTCGCATTGTCAGTTTGCAATTGTGTTAGTCAGCAGGCTGCTGGGACATTTGTATTAACATGACTTCCTGCCTGCCAGCCGGCTTATTATTATTATTATTATTATTGTTTTGCGGCTGCCAATGGACACGCTGACCCTACTAGCGCTAGCTGCTAACATTGTTCTTAGACGAACGCCTACAAAAACTTTGTATGCGAGCACCCAACAATATGATTATTATTATTATTGGCCAGCCCTCCACTAAGCCACTAGCCAGGACTGCAGTGTCCCAGGCACAGTTCCGCCTAGAGATGGTCGATGGCCCCATTTTAGGGATTTTAATTTTATATACATTTTCATTTAAAAATTGTAGATTTACAATATTAAAAAGTAATAACAAGTACATATATTCAATATTATAAAATAATAGTTAGCCTTTCGACATATTTGCAATATTAAAAAATTATCAAATATAAATATAAAATATTAAATGCAATAGTTAGGCTATCGAGACATTTGATTCACAGTTCACTTAATTCTCAATTGAACTTTGCATTACATTTTTTAAATAAATTTAGTAGAATAATTTAGTCAATAGAGTTCAATATTTTAATTCGGCATCTGTTCTTAAATAACGACGTTTACCTCGTGCGTATTTCTGTAAAACTAAAAATATGATTTTGCAACAAGTTTTTCATTTATTTTTCAAAAGAAAATTTACATTCCTCATAGCTAAAGGCTCAATTATTCTATGCCTCATTATAAGCACACATCTCTAATCATATTTTATTTTCTATTATCTTCTATTTTTCATGCAACATTAAGATTTCAGTTTAATACAAATGTAAAAACAAACATCATGAATATATAATCCGCTCTCAAAGCAACTGAACCGTCAGAATTGATGCTAGTATGCGAATATTTCTCGATGCTTTATTTTCACATATTCTTATTTTAATATTTTCATGAATATGATTTACAACATCCTAAATTGTAAGTTTTCTCGCACCAATTTGATGTGTCTTTAAAAACTTACAAATTCAAAATGAGTTCAAAATGTTTGATTTTGCGCAATTAAATTAAATTAAATCACAATTATCTGAACACAAAGCTTGGGGATCGAAGGTCTGTAAAGGCAAATCGCAAATGATTTTGCAATAATGCATAAACGCATGCTGGCATTTTGGGCTGCTTTGCATCTCTCTGGAGTTGGCGCAAATTAGACAAACACAATTTCTATATCAAATAGTTAGATAAAGACACGGATCTGATGCAAAGGACTTTAATCAATTTATCTACAGTTTGAAAGTCACAATGTAATATATAACAGAGTATTGGACAGTCGTTAGATTCGAACTGCAGTTTTTTTTATTTCAAGATCGTGACACGTTTGAATGCTGCACAAGCGCCCATTTCTAGTTCCATCCAAGGAACAATTCCTATATCCCTATATATTTATACATACACATAAAAACATGTTTATGTATGTATACGACAGTGTGTGTATGTGTGTGTGTGTGTGTTCATGTACATCTCGCTATGATTGTCTTGGGCATAAATGGGAATTTATAGGCGGTTTGCTGCCTCTGTCCCGATTTGGCTCCTTCTCGGGCTCTGCCACCGACTCCGGCACTGGCGCAATAAATAGCCAGACCCGGCAATCCCTGGACAGCAATAAGACAAGTAATTTAGTTGCAAAATAATTTTAAATTTCATTTTCCATTTTCACAGCACTCACTATCATCAATTGCGCATCTTGCGCGGGCCATGGGTGTGGATGTGGGTGTGGGTGTTGTTTCTAGCTGGAAAATGCGCCCAGCCGATTGCCTTTTATGCGATGCCATTTCCTGCTTTATGGCTAGCATGTGGACTTCATACTCCACCCAGGCATCGATATCAGCATATTAACAAATTGTACGTTTTATTGGGACTTGGGCGTAGTTCTGAACAACTTAAGAGCCCAGCCATGCATTTATTTATTTACAAATTTATAGCAAACTAGCAGAAAACATATTTTTTTATCTTCCATCTGCACGGGAGCTCGATCCCTAAACTATGTGTGCCTCGTCGCCAGCCCTTGCATACACATATGACATCATAAGACAAACTATTTTTTATATATACTTAGTTATCGCAGCCATATTGGGAAAGTTTTAGCCTTAGCTAGCCTGAACCTTTGTCTGGCACACATGTATATGCAACATATCAATAACTGAACTAATGCCCAAATCCCAAGTTTGTTAGTTTGAACCAAACAAACTTTGGTTTAAAAACAGGATTCTGGCTTCACTGTGCATTAATTCGCTTCAAAACTCGGGCTGCAGTCCTAGCAAATGTGCGATAGTTGTGAAATTCGCATATTTAACAGTAAAACTCTAATC